TTTTTTCATTGGTCAATGGTTAGAGAGGACAAACAATATTAACATATCCAAGATGTATTTATGGAAACAGTTGCAATTGACTTGTTTCTAATTTGGTTATTTTGTCTTCAGCATATTGTACTGAACACATGTGTCCTTTTACAATTGCAAAATTACTTAAATATTGTTTCATGTTTTTATAGTAAGTGTAGACTAGTATAATAGAAGTTGTGATGATATAAATTCTTCATCTGAGCAGTGTTGTTAGTAAATGAAAAACAAGACCTATTCAGTTCAGTTTAGAAAACCAAAACTAAAGTAAGAATAATTAAGATTTGAAAACTACAGTGATAATGATCCAAAATCTCAGACAGAAAACTTAGCATAAAATTCACTGTATTAACTAGAACCGTCTTAAGTCACTTAATAGTGACTAACAGCAAAAAAAGAGTCTGTGTCTGTAGTACCTGACCTAGGGATTGAACTCACAATTACTTTACCACCAAATTCCTAAACCAATGCTTTAATTCACTTTGCATTAGCATAAGAAAGGGCAAGGTAACAGGAAATACAGACAACTATTTCTAGACTTGAAGAGATCAAGATTTAATTAGCGAATAAAATTTCAGAGTTCAAGCAGAGATGTTAGGAGTATAGATAGTTGAAGTAGATTTTAGAAGGGACTGGAAACCCAATCCTAAACAGGATACAAGGGATGAACTTCTACTCCTCATCAAAATAATGGGGAGGAATGTGAACCAGACAATAGACAAACCTATCTACTCCTATTGGGAGAGGAAAAAAAAAATTAATGAATAAAATTTAAGATTTTGTGCAGAGATGTCAGAAGTACAGAGTTGAAGAAACAGGAAACACAATACTAAACAGGAAAAAAGGGATAAACCTCTACTCTTGTTCAAAAAGACCAGGAATAGAGTAAACCTGATGATAGGGATGCAACTTTTGCTATTTTTCAAGCATCAAGTCCATTTCTCTCTGACTGTTCAGGTTTCTTATTAACCATGTTATCTTCAGGCAATTATATTTCAGGCTATAAATTGAAGCATCCATGATTCCTGGAGATCTAACTAACAGCACTTCAGGAGTAGGGTCATTGGGTATGTTCATATATCTACAGCTAGATCCAATGAGATAGGATAATATATGAACACAACTACATGCCAAAGTATATAGGACCAAACATTAAACTGACCTTGTGTCATATTTGCTCATATCAAGGAGTAAATAAATTCAAGTATCAGGATTATTTCATTGTAGGCAAGAATTTTAACGATTAATTCACCATTGAATTTAGACAAGTTAAAAAATTATTTTTGATTGAATAAATAATTTTTTTGTATAATTTTATTAAAAATTTATTTTGCTTAACTAATTCAATAGTTTCATATTTAACAACATGATATTTCATTTTGCTAATTCTGAGGGTGGATGTGCAGGTAGTAGAATAGATATCAATGAAAAAAGTGCAATCAGCAAATTCTAGACTAACCTCTTGCATTCACTTTTGTGATAATACCCTTTGGAAAGGCATGTATCCATCTCTTCTCCACCCAGTCACAGATTAGACAACAGAGCAGAATGGGCTCTTTAGCCTTGGGTAGCAATCAATCTAAGTGAAAGAAAACTAAATTCCAATCCTTGGAGAAGTCATTTCACTATTTTTTCCTAAGAGTGCATACCAATTTACAGATGATAAAGAAAAGGAATCTGTGAAGCCATGATTGTCTAGGTTCTGGGGAGTCAACACATGAAATAAAAAAAACAAAAAACACTGAGTATGTGATTAAATACAAATTGGATACTACTGCATTGATTAAAACCTTTGTTATATATATATATATATATATATATATATATATATATATATATATATATACACACACACACACACATATATATATATATATACAGATATATATATGTTTTGAACAATAAAAAATATTAAAAAATTAAAATTTTCAGACACACTGGGTTGCATATTAATATTTTTTTGTTTTATTGTTTCAATTAGGTTCCTCGACTAGTTTCGGCCAGCATGGCCATCATCAGAAAAAATCCCTGCTTGTTAGTAGCAGTGAACTACAGGAGTGAATGACTGTTTTTGAAGAAAGTGAATTTTATCTGTAGTTTTCATTTATTTTTTATCATTAATTTTGGTCAATCCTTGTGTTGGTCAAACAGCCTCTTTCAAGTTGTTTTTAAGATAGAGGATGGGAGATTCCTGACTTTAAGAATTCCCTCCTTGGTCATTTTTACAATTTTATTAGTTGCTGGGAATGGGATGTGTGTGTTAAGTGTATGCTATCTTTTAGTTCTTAGGGAGTGCGTGTGATGTGTGTATGTGTATATATTAGTATGAGTGTATGTATAAGTGTGAGACCTCAACACCTCTGCAAGCATGTCTGTCTTGTGTGGGTGAGAAATGTGGGTAGGAATTGATTTATGGGGTTATATATTAATTCTATGTTGTTAAATTTGTGGTTAAGCCCATCTGGATGAAGTGTTTTGAGGCACAAAATCCATTTGTCTTCATGTTCCTCTAGTATTTCTCTAAGGTTATCTTTTCTGTCTATTTCTATTTTTCAATTATAGTGAATTTTGCATGGCTTTTAAAATCATGTTTTTCTAGGCAGAAATGTTGTACTACAAGTAATAATGGGGAGCTGACTGGATCCAATTCCAATAATTATTAATTCTGTAGTGAAAGCACCATTCTGATTTTTCCACATATTATTTCTGGTACAGTGTGAATTCTAATAGGTAAATTATGTTATGACTTCTACATTTAGAATTGTGGTAGATTTTGTTTGAAAGTAGATTTAGTGACTGAGCCAGATACTTTAAAAATTAGGAGATCAGTTGAATGCACTACCTTGGTCTCAAACTTACGGTAAAGCGATTTTTAATCACTTGGCCTCCCAACACTTTATTTTGAAAAAAATAATCAATGCTATACTATTTTAAAAAAATAAATAAACAAACGCATGACGTTGGCTATGACAGAAAGGGAGGAGAAGGATAGGAAGAAGAAGAGAGAAGAGAAGAAAAGCAAAGGTACTATAAATGTATCAGTGGGGGCGGTAAATGAAATGTACATTTTTTTTATCCAGCCTCAAATGTGTTCAAAAGGAATTTTTTAACTATGTATGCAAGGACTCGTTAATTCGGATTTCGGATCCAAAGAACCTTTTGAACAAGAAATCCAAAGTCATGAGTCCTTACTCAGTGCCCCCACTTGTAGCTTTGTACCGAAAAACTAAATTTTGCTTCCTCTCTTTTTTTTTATGAGATGTGTTGAAGAGACTTTGTGTTTCTATGTAACACACTTATTTTTTTACAGTTTAAAATATCGTTAAAACTAAATTAACATTATTTGAAAGAAAACAAATAAATAATAAGAATTAAATGAAAAGACCATGGAATCGTCAATTTAAAGAAAACATTTCCTATTTTTGTTTATTTTTAGAGTAAGTTCATGGAGTTAGGTAACTAAATTACAATTATACTTAAACCAGGGCCAATTACTGCAGATTGATTGTTGATAGAATATTTTTTCTTTTGTAAGTTACAACATAAATGAAAAATGAAAAATTTCAACTTTAAAATATTTCAAATCCTTCACATAAATATTCAGTCATTACTTTGCTGAGTAAATAAAAACCTGTTTCACTTTTACAGTTTTATCATATGGTTTATCTTTTCATTTTTAAATTATTTCATTAAGACTTGACTAGAGTGACTAGACTATAAAAAAGTGGATAAAAAATATTACTGACTGAAACAAAAGCAATAAAAATATCAAAATTCAACAAGAATAAATCATGCTGGAAAAATATCCATTGACAAACTTGAGAGCCTAAAAAAAAGTATCTTTCTTTTTTTTTTACAAAGAACTCTTTTTTGGTATAAAGAAAAATATTCACTAACTTTGGTCTGTAAAAAAACAAACTTGTTACACCTCTTCTTAGTAAAATAAAATATATTTATTTATTTTAATTCTCTACTCTAGAGTCTAGATGTATTAATTTGTGTAACAGCAAAAATAAGATAATACAAAAAAAAATATTTACTTTTTGGCTTGTGAATAATAATGTTCAGAAATGTTCGGAAGTTCAGTGTTACTGTTTTAGTGCTAATTGACAACTTACAAATGGCAATGAATGAACACTGAGTGAAAAAGAGACATTGCAAAAAGTTGCTTTTTTGTTGTTAATATGATCATCATATATTTATCATTAAGGTTTGTTGAGCAAAATCACAATTTTAATACAAAATAGAAACAAGCAAGTTCAAGTATTATATTTTCAAGGGTAACAACCGTTTTTCTTTTGTTTTAGTTTTAAAGCACATGACGTTCCTTTTTTTTTAGTTTTTAGTTTTTACGATTGTTTTGTTTACAAATCTAAAATCGAATTTCTTAAATCAAAACAAAACGGAAGTGTGTTATTTATTTTGTTAAAGTTATTTCAGCAATTTTTGCTAAAATTGTGAGATTACATTTGGTTTCTTTTGGAGTATTTACGGATGATATAGGAAACACTACAATATTATTTCTCCTTGTTACGTTTGTAGGCAACAAATAACAAGTTTATCGAAATAATAAAGTTCATTAGAAAAATGTTACTATATGAGATCAGTTAAATAAAAATCATTATAGTGTAATTTAAATTTCCTGATTATTGCCCACCGGTAGTAAAAGTATTATGACAGTTTTTAGATAAAGAAACTTTTTTTAAAAGCTGAATTGGGCAATAATAACAATAATTGCTCCCCGCGCCATGTTTACATTTGTGTGTACCGTTGCATGTAATGGCTGCTCCCTTCGACTTCCGGCGTGCCCAGATGGCGCTGTATGCAAACCTAAAATTCCGCCACTAACTTCTTCTTGTTCGGGTTTAGCCAAACTTGTTGCGTTAACATGTCGATGGACTCACACCTTTAATATCAACTTAATACGAATTATTAACCATCTGTAGGCATTGACAGTGAAATTCGGAGCCATGCCCAAAAGAAAAGCCAGTGTAAGTTGACGTATTTAGTCTCTATTCCCTCTCCAGCAAACAGGGTCCGTCGCCCATCATTGTTGTATGCCGGGAAAGGCTCCTACAATAATGTCCGTTAATGAAAACTTCATCGTCTATTATTTATTAATGCTTTCTTCTTGAAAAAATCTAATTCACACATTGAAATTTTATGTGAAACATTCCCATGCTTTAACCCTACTTTTGAGTCGAGTGTCCCATCCCTTGAAATAACGCGCTCACTTCTCCTTGTCATTTGTCATTAGTTTTGGTTGTCGCAAACATGGGGGATTATTTTATAATATGAAATTGATTAGAAAACGACCCCCCACTTACTGACCATCCCATGTATCACATTCTGAATGCACATCTAAATGTATGTATATTGTTTTGCACAAATCTGATGATTACACATGATTTTATTTACTTGTATACAAGTTCCGATTCAGCAAAAAAATACTCATTTTTAATTTGACTCGCAGATCTCTCCATCTAACGTTCTAAAAACTTTTTTCACGTTGAAAAAGTCTTTCTCTGTCAAAGTATACAATAATTTTTGTTAGAAAGAAAAGAAATGTTTACGATATTTGAAAAGTTTGGTTAAAATTGAAAAGTTAATTTTATTTATATAACTGGATCAACACTGATCAGATATATTTGAAAGCTTTTGCAATGTGTCAGAAACACAAGTGACCGCTTTTTCGTCCAACTCCGAATAATTCACTTGATATATCGTTGTGTTTGCTTTAAAAAAAGAAATTTGACATCAACGTTTGTTTGTGTTTTAATTTTCATAGTGAAAGTAAGGATAAGAAACTGGATTAAAAACATGCACGTGTCTTTAATAAAAACGATTTTATTGTAATGATTGTTTTGGTAGTTTTAAATTTTTTGATAATTTCTGTATTCAGTATTTATTTTTTAGTTTTACAATTTAGTGCTTGTTTGTAAAATAATTTCACTTTTCAAGTTTAGTTATTCAATTTCATGGGAAATCTTAAATTTATTTTATCTTCAACATTAGAAAATTAAGTTTTTAATTTTCGTGTTTGGTTCTGTTTGTCAGTTTTTGAGGAAGAGTATAAAATTAAAATATTACTTATGAAATGATAGTTATGAAGCCAGATAAATAGAAATGTAATGTTGATTGGTTGAATCATGTTTTTTGTTTTAATGACTGGTTCATTTTTTATTTTCATGGGTATAGATGAAAAAAGTTAGGTTCCTTTAGCTATTTTTTTTATATCTCACAAATTCACAATAATAGTGACAGTCCATACTAAATCTGTAAACCCAAATATTATGCTCGTTTTAAATTACTGACAGCTCCTTGTATGTAAAGTGTTAAAAATAAAACTTTATCCTCACTTTAAAAAGAAAAATATTGCATTTGTTTCTTTTATTCACTTTTTAAAATCTCCCTTAGAATTGTACAATATGAGCTTGTCATTGAATGAAATTGAAATACCCTTGAGAGGAAATCACCTTTTAAAATGATGTAATCTTTTTTTTTCTCTCTCTTATTCTGGTGAAGTCAATTAAATCATTCCAGCACAAGTACAAATCCACCTTTGTCACTTAGAATTTTGTTGCCTTCAAATTTATGCAACATAGAACTAGACAAAATGAAAATCACTATTTTTTGCATTGTTCTTTCAACTTGATTATAATAATTAAGAATACTTTCCCCCAACCTATTGCATTCTTTTAATGATTTTAATTTGTTCTTGCAGAAAGTCGTTGAATCTGCTTCAGAAGAGAGTGATCATTCTCCAGTGGAAAATGATGATGGTGATCATGCCTCACGCACTCGAGTTACTCGCAGATCTTCTGGTAACTTTGTTTTTATTTTGTAAAATTGTATCATAAAGTTTAAAACAGATTTTGGTTATATTTTAATTTAACAGTTCCTTGCTTAATTAAAAGAAAGAAACTTAGGTAGATTCAATGTTTTGCCTGTAAATAATTGTATTGAATACTTTATACCCAAAATAAGCTTTTATTACTTGTTTCACAATCTTTGAAGATTTATCTACTGTTTGATCAGCTAATAGTTTGGGATCTTAATTGTGTATTAAGTATTCTGAGTTGCGGTCATATCACATTGAAACACTGGTTCTCTTACAATCATTGAATTTAAGCAAAATCAAGCCTTGTCAGTACCTAGATCGGTGACTGCTTGGGAGTACTGTGTGTTGTAATGGATAGCTCAGAATTTAAAATTGGAGAGCTGAGTTCCAATTCCATTTAAGAAAAGTAATACTAATAACTAATTTTCATCTTATCTCTTGCTGATATATTATCCTTAGATATTTTGAATAAATTTGATGATTTCAGGACTGCTTGCAGAGCCAAACAATTCCTCAATGAAGTGCAGTAAAAATGGCTACATTATTTACATTATTCGGACTATTGTCCTCATCTTTGTTGCCATATTACAACGTTTCGGATGTTGTACGCTCCAGCCTTCTTCAGGTGGTTGGAATGTCGACATTCTAACCACCTGAAGAAGGCCGGAGCATACAACGGCCGAAACATTGTAATAAATATGGCGACAAAGATGAGGACAATAGTCTGAATAATGTACATAATACCTCATCTCAGAAATATAGACAGATTGTAAATGTCTAGTACAGATTTGCTCATATAAACAGCCTTATTCTACTAACTTGTTAGATAATCGGGGTAATATATACATCTGACAGAATTTCAATAGTGTGTCAAATCATTTTCATACTGATAAAAAATATTTTAAATTCTTTGCAGAATGATATAAACAAAAGTTGCAACCATTAGTATTTCTAAGGGTACATAGTACTAAATACTATATTTCAAGCTATTTTATGGGCTCTTACAGGTTTATTGTTACCAGTACCAGGGAGAGAATTTTCAAGGTCCGGCATACAGATTATTTTGAGGCCTCCTGGTTAGAAAAGGAAATGCTGGGACAAACAAGCTCGATCTAGCAAGTCTTACAAGACCTTTTAAAGAGTATGTCTTACTTGGCAACCCTTGCGATCGAGTATGATTTGGTGCGAGAATTAGACTTTGAGGAACTGATTGCACATTTTGCTTCAATGGAACTGGTTTTAGTCTTTGTATTTTTTAATTTTTTTATTTGCAATAAAATACCAATTTGTAATTTTGCTCTCTACTTTTTGTAAGGAAGACCCACCCCCTACCCCTAAACCCTTAAAGGTATTTTCTTGAGGCTCCTAAGGTTTCAAGGACTGGCACATTTGTGCCAGCTGTCCCCACCTCTTGCTGCCACTGATTGTTGCTGTAGTGATACATCAGTGTGTTCTACCAGTCAACTAGTACTACAGGTTAACAGCTGACTTTGAGTTATAAAAGATTATTTTTAATAAATAATATTATTATATATATATATATATATATATATATATATATATATATATATATATATATATAAAAAGTGTAAATGACAAACCAGTTTTATTAAATGTTCAGTTTTTTTTTGTTTGTTTATCTTCCAAAAAATGGACACATGTCAAAATTTTTTCATAAAAATTCTATCTGAAGACCTCACAAGAACATTTAACATTGTGTTAAATATATGGAAAAGGTTGTAATGATTTGTTCTTGACATACATTGGACATCACTTATTTATTTGAATTGCAACTTCTGTCTTCCATTATATATCATTCTCAATGTCTTCCACATAGTAAATTGAGCATTATTGTCATCAGAGGTAGCAAGATGTGAGATGACAGTATCAGTGAGATGCTGCCAAAAATATAGTAACGATTAAAACATTTTGTTAATTGCATGTAAGTTCATCTGTATAGTGCATTTACTCTGTAGAGAAAAAATAAATTTCTGGAGAGTTTTTATTAGGATTACTTTATATCATTAATTTTTATCTTTTATTTCATGGGTTTATTTTTCATATGTTGCAGGAAACAATATCCTGTCAATTCAATCAGTTTCAATAGTTAGTATATTTTGAAATGTTGGTTTATTCGTAAATTGGCTATTAACAGAATATACTGAAAGAAGTATTGGCAAATGTCAAGTGATGACAGTTCATTCACTATGTAAAGTTTTTATTTCTGATTGAAAACATTAAAGGATAATTTTATTCAATGTTTTACTCCTCATTAAAAAGTAGATTGACTAATGAATGCGAGATGTATAAACATTTGTAATAATGAAACATTGGTTTCCACTAAAATATCTTTCACACAGATATCTTTCAAAGTCTTTTTAAGGACAATTGCAGAATTGATTTTAAAATCTATAATAGGTTAAGTAGTTGGTATCTCCTTGTTTATTACCATTAAATTTATATGTATTTAAATAGATAAGCACACTTTTCTTCTTGCATCTTAACTTTTGTCTCAATATTATCAAATTATTTAATCACTATAATTTTCTTTCAGATGTTTCTTCAAAAAAACACTCTCCAGAAAAGAAAGAGACGCGAGTAAAAACAAAGAAAGGTAAAAATCTTTTTATTTTGTCAAGACTTTAATGATCTTTTTTTTTTTTTTTTTTCATAAAGTTGTTAAGATTGTCTGCAAATGAATCCCACATTGTTGCAGCAAGAATTTGGTGTCAAGACAAAAAAAAATTGTAGCAGTCTCTCCAATTCACAAAGTTTTGTATCATACAGTACCAGGCTATAAGAGTATAGACCTTTTTTAGAATACCTTGTTCTTTTAGGTTGTTGATAATTATAGCTCTTCACAATTTCCTTTGCTTATCTGTGAATTACCATGCCTTCTTGGAAAATACAGTGGAGTGGTTTCCTGTTGTTTTCATCATTCTGGATTTCATAGTTTTCCTTCATTTGGACTGAAAATCAGAACAGAGTTCATTACATTCACTTATGCACAAATAACCTTGGGAAAGTTATGAATCCCTCCCTCCCAGCTATGGGCTAAATAGTAAATCTCAAAAGCAAATGTAGGATTTTAGCTTAAGCTTTTAAAATATTTTATTTTTATTTTTTTAATTTTTTTTTTTTTTTTTTTTTACTTTAAAATTGATTCTTTGTTTCAGGATTACAGAAAAGTGCTTCAAAGAAAAAGAAAGAGAAAAGCCAGTCTGAATCAAGTTCTGATACAGAAGCAGATACAAATGCAATCATATCTTCTCAAGAAGAGAAGATTGCACATGATAAATTACAGGCTCTTTATGGGTTTGCAGAAAAACGTGCCACTCCACTCACAGACTACAATGAAAATTCCAGATGTCCATTTCCAGGATGTGATTCTCAAGGTAAAGTTTGGTTTTATAATCATGGCTTTTCTATTTGTACATCAAAATGATATACTATTGAAATATTAGATTGATTACTTAAGCATTAACACAGAGTTTGTAATATTGGTTATCATTTGTCATGATTTTTATAGGTGACTTACAATATTGAATACATTTGTTGCCTATATTTAATTATTTGATGCTGTTCAGGCTATTGTCAATCTTTTTTCCTGATATTATTAAAAATTTATACTTTAATTATATACATTTTCATATACCAGATGTAAACTTTATGCTAATCAATACTATAATTTTATTTTTAAAAAATGTTTGGTTCAGCTGTAGGCTAACCCTATTGCAATCCAGGCAGCTTAACCTTGGCTAGCCATACAGAGGCTAGATAAATATGAAAGAAATTTTAATCACTGTGTTGATACAAAGAAAATAGCCTCTTTCTCAGTTAAAATGAACCTTTACCCTGAACAGTTACAGATAACAGATAATGAACTTCACAGATAACAAATATCAGTGACCTGCAAATAATGAAACATCAAATATTTTTATATATTTAACATTCAATTAGTTTTGATAATTTTTTTTTTTTTTTTTTACTGAACTTTGTTTTATATTTTTAAATGTATTTTATTACAATTAACCTTTAATATAACATTTTATACATTTATTAATTATGAATACATCGGCCATATTAGGCCGATGTATTCATGTTTAATAAATGTATTGATAATGGCATGTTTAAACTGAAACATTTCACTTGCACATTCGTTCACACCCACAGAGTTCTTTGTAGTTTCAATATTTAATGAGTAAGAAAGTTACTCTCATGAAGAAAGTTACAAATTATTTAATTCTTCTAACCTAAGTGGGTGTGAGAACAGGTAATGTGTTTCAGTGATGACAGCAATGTGTGTGTCATCTGTTGGTGCAGATTTCTACAAGTATGACAGGCTCTTGTTTTCATGCTGGTGAAAATATATAGCCAGTGATGGTGACTATATGCAAAAACGATATTTTGTAGCTGAAAACATGCTCTATCCATTAGAGCTATTGTGCTCTTTGTACCAATTATATTTTCTGTAGAAATTGGTGGAATTACGTTTAGAGTGTCATTTAGCATCTAAGCATTTTTGATAAAATATAACAAAAGAAGTAAAATAAATTTACTTGTTTGTCTATTTTAATATTCCAAACCATTTCACTTTACAGAAGCAAATTTAACAGAAACCTCTATTGAGAAGAGGTGTATCAATACAGAGCAGCTTACCAGTATGATTAGCAAAATTAACAAATTTTGTTAGGCTGGTTATATGACCTAGTTTAACAACAATCTGTTACCTGAACATGAGACTATATTTCTCTTTTGTTTTCATTTTAGGTCACATGACAGGAAAACATGAAACCCACCGAACAATATCAGGATGCCCGCTGTACCATAATACAACTGCAGATGAGTGTAAGGTATGCAAATAGACTTAAACTTTTTAATTTTAAGAGAATAAAGATCAACAGTATTACACTCAGTTGTCATTTGAAAGACTTCAATGAAGGATACAAATGATTTTATCAAGTGAATATAAGCAGAAGAATAATCTGTAATATAAAAATGATGTATTTACAGATCGCGACAGCTATTAGGGAGATGTGGTTAAATATACTTTAATGTTTAAAAAAATTTATTCAGTATTATTATTGTTTAGGTAGTGGCTATCTTAATTTTGATGAAAAAGATTTTAAAGCAAACTTAAGAACTACATAAAGATTCTTACAAAAATTTAGATACAGAAGTGATTCTGACTCTTCTGATTTTAATTAATAGATTTAAAATTATACATTAATTACTAATTTTTTTAATTAATAACTATTTCTGCTTAGTTGTTGACATGCAATAATAAAAATTTAAATTTCATCCCTCTGATAGATGTTGCAATCTATTATTGAAGAAACTGATAACCGGCCATAAGTTGATTCTATGAATTATTCAAGTTAAAATGCATAGTGTTCATATTTTTTCCAAAAGTAAATGCAGAAACTTATTTATTCTTTTGTTGATACACTCAGTTCTCTTTTTACAGTTTTGAAATACCACAGTCCAACAAAAAGAACCAATTATTTTTTTTGCAATATCTTTTTTACTTTAACACAGTTTAAACATCATCCTTGTGGCACCCAAATTTATTGCAAATGGCAAGTAAACGATTAAGTAACATCAATCTGTTATAAATTACAAAATGCTAAAACTCTATATAACGTGATTAAGTAATGATTTAGCAAAGTAAAATAGAATCCAATCTACTTTTTCTGTATAGCTGTCCCCCCACTCTCCAGTGTGGGTGGGACCTAAGCGCTGTACATACCTCTGGCTGTGTGTAACTGCTCTATCAAATGGCACATGGTGACAGTTGTTAGCATCGAGTCTAATACAAAATACGTGTTGTGTGTTTCATCCTCTGCTGTATTTTTTATTTGCGATCATGATAGTGATAACCTACCCCAAAATGTCGGTTGATACATCTAAGAAAAATAAAAGATCATCAATTTCTTTGGAGATCAAGATTGATATTTTGGATTGTCTTCATAAGGGCAAAAGTGCAGCATCTTTGGGTAGAGCTTTCTGCCTGAACAAAGCTATGATAAGAAGGATCAAAAGGAATGATGCTGCCATTTGAAGATCTGTAGTTTCTGGAGCAAAATTAACTGCTAAGTCGTCATATACAAGAGATAATATGGATAGAAGAAAGCAATCAAAACAGGATACCAGTAGATGGTAAAACCATAAAACAGATGGGATTACAATTTTACAAGAAGATTAATGGTCTGGAGTCATCAAGTGATAAAAAGAAGAATGAATTTGCTGCAAGTATGGGATGGCCTACAAAACACACACTGTATAATATAAAAATAAGAGGTGAAATTTCATCAGCAGATAAGACTGCTGCTGAAGAATTTCTTCCAAAACTTGCCAAAATAATTGAAGAAGGCAGTTAATTTCAGACCAAGTTTTCAATGCAGATGAAACTGATCTCTTGGAAAAAAAAAAAATAAAACCAAACAAAACTTATATAGCAAAATCGGAGAAAAGTGCTAGTGGTTTTAAGAAAAGTTAAAGACCATGTAACTTTCTTGTTATGTAGCAATGCTTCAGGAGATTCTTTGTTAAAGCCGTTATTATTTAATCAGTTTGTCTGCATGCAATGAAAGGCGTAAGTAAATTACCAGTTCATTGGAGGGCCAATAAAAAATCATGAATGACAGCAGAAATGTTTACTGAATGGTTTAACAATTGCTTCATTCCTGAAGTAAGAAGATATATGGAAGATAAAGGTCTTGAGTCATCCAGATTTGGAACACCTGAATGTAGACGTCGTATTCTTGCTACTTAATACAACATTGCTGATTCAAACACTTGATCAGAGTATAATTTCAACATTCAAATCATATATCCAGCGAACATTTGAAGATATTATAGATAAGCTAGAAAAAGAATGTACACTTTCAATCATTCAAGCATGGAAAAAATTTACTATAATCAGTTGTGTTAAATATGCTGCCCTGGCTTTATCCAAATTAAATCCATCCACCCTAAATGTATGCTGGAGATTACTTTGGCCAGAATGTGTAAAGCCTAAAAATCTCATATCTAATATAAATACAAATGAATTACATTCTGATATCATCACTTTGTCACATCAGATTAGCAGAGAAGGTTTTGAAGAATTAACAATTGAAGATCCTAATGAAGAACAAATTATAGAGAGTATTTCAGAGAATGTATATGATTCTACGTTAGTTTACAGTAGTGATGAAGAAGTGGTTCCACTATCTGCAAATACAATTCTAGAAGGCCTCCAAATAGCCAATAAACTTGGAAATCATTTTCTTACAAATGATAACAAGATTGAACGAGATATGCAATTCCGACGTGATTTGAAAATAATTATGGCACATTGTGAAGAATCGTATAAAGAACTAACAAAAACAAAATCACAGCATCTGTGTATTCAAAACCAGTGAAACAAAAGATACACATCAAGATATATCACCATTAAATATTTCCAGTGACAAGAGTGATATTGTGCCCTCAAAAAACAACAGAAAGCGGGCACTTTACTGTCTTGTAGTGACACTGAATGATTGTTACACACACATCTATCTATCTATCTATCTATCTATCTATCTATCTATAGAGAGAGAGTGAGAGAGAGAACCTATCTCTAATTTTCATGTGTATACTATATTTTTTTTTACACGGTTTTATTTTGCACGGTAGTCTCTGGAACATATCCCCCATGCAAAAAGAGAATTGAGTGTAACTCTTAAAAAAGCATGTAAATGATAAAAAATTGAAATGGCGTGGAATGAATTTGCATGTGTGGCATATTCAACATAAATAATACTCCCAAGTTAAAAGTAGACAATGTGATAATTATGTTTAATGAATTCTTGCATTTTAATTTCTTGAATAAAAATGTGTTTAATAGATACAGGCTTAAATGCAGAGTAATTTGATCTCGTGGATATTTTTTTGCTTTGTTTTGAAATCACTTTTTCATTTCTGTTGTAAAGATCATATATCATCCTTGAAATAAGAACTTAACTGCTGGTAGATAGTCTGATTAAATAGTCAATCAAACCCATAACTTGTGAAGAGCTAAAATATTTTTTTTAAATCATGTAATTTGTTTATAAAAGTAGCAAATTTTTAGCTTAATGAGTATGTAGAAATTCATTTTAACATGGATTATTATTTTAAAAAAATAATTTTGTTTGATTTAAAACAAATGATTCACTTTCTGTTTGTGGGTGTGTTGTTGTAGAACTGCAAAAATGTCATAGTAGTGAGATTTTTGTTAGGAAAACACTGTAAAAGAAGAATATAGTAGTTTGCAATTTAAGAGTATAGGATCTGTATGCATGCTTACCCAAATAATAATAATTTCTGCTTGTTTGCATGTTACAAAAACTAAAAAGGAAATTATATCTATAATGAAAGAGGGGAAAAGATTCCTAATTACTGTTTAAAATAAAGATAAAATACAAAATAATGATACTTTGTGTTGAAAAAGTTTTATATCGTAATAAAATTTAACTGCTAATTACAAAGTAGTTCCCCCTTTTTTAATTTGTAAATATATAAATTGTATAAATATGATTTGATAGAGAATTTAAAAATTGCCTTTGGCAGCCTTTAAGTAGATTTAAAAAATGTATTTTCATCCAGTATTGATTATCAACAAACACTGTGTTTGAAGAAATTAGAACAAATTTTTATTTTTATTTTTATTTTTTTCTACTTTTGTTTCTGGTGTTGGTTGGTTGGTGGTGGTGGTAATAATAATAATAATAATAAATTGATGTAGTTGACATTATAGTGTCATTGTATATAGTCACTCTGATATTGTCAATGGTTACATAATGTGCTATGCTAGGGCTACATATGGTTTTGGATTCATGCATCTTTGAATGTGCCTTGATAAAGTCCACCAGAGGAGGAAACGCATTGGTTAAGATAAGTTTTCCTGTCCTTTTATTTTATATATATATATATATATATATATATATATATATATATATATATATATATTATTTTGTCACCTGATTGATATAATATTCAGCACCCCAACTCATAGATGAACCTTTTTTTCATAATCTTTCAGTCCACTCATCAGGAGATATCAGCTATTGACTGCTGATTTTTCTCATTTTCGTTTTTTTTTTTTTTTTTCATCTGCTGTACTATTTGTAAATGTATCATTTACTAAAAATATTAACTTGAATTTATTAAATAAAGTATTACTAATAGTTGTAATGAATCATTGATAAAAGATGTTTGGAAGGGGTTGTAATTTTATTTTAATTTCTAATTTTTAGAAACGATTTGAAGAAAGGCAAAAATCTTCAGAAGAAAGGAAAAAGATTGTCAAAAATTTAAATGAGAGGCGAGACCTTCGGCGGCTGGTAAGTAGGTGTTCAAGAGAAATTTATTGTCTATACTTTTATTAGTAAACAATAAAGAAACATGGCAGTAAAACTCATGGCATTTTACATTTTTCTTACAAATTAAGCATCTAAAGTTCTTTGATTAAAACTTTGTTCTTGTTTTGTCTGACATTGTAAATTATGAAATATTTTTGTACTACTGTACTATACAGTCTATCAGTGTGCAGGCTCTACCAACCTCAAATTACAACTGACAAACTAAACACAGGGTAAAAATTTGTTTATTACGTTTTTAAATTGTATTCTATGTACAAATTGAAATCTAGTATGCTTCTTTCATCTAAGGAACTGAATATACCTGACTGTAACCCCAACACTCACACAAAATACTGCCTTGCCGACATGCAAATACTTATTAATAATGTTTTTGGCATGCATAGTCTTGTCTTTATAACACTATGTACAAATTGAAATCCAATACTTTTCTTTTGTCTAAGAAAATCAAGATAGTTGACTACTAATCCCAACACTTACACATACTGCCTTAACTACATGCATACACTTATTGATAAATGTTATTTTGGCGTGCATAGTCTGGTCTTTACAACAATTTCTTCCATTAATACAACAGAACTTTCAACCAACCTTTGAACTCTATAACTTGTGTACATTACTTAATCTTGGATTCTTTTTCAAATAAATTAATTTCTTAACAAATTGGTGATCCCAAGTAGAACATTATATTTACTAAGAAATAGTTAAAACTTTTCCCTTATTCTATGACTCATGTTTTTTGGTTTCTTTGCACATTTCCAGCAACCAACAGAAGAACAGAAAGAGAAGACTCAGAAAGTTTCTGAAATTCGAAAGAAGGGCAATGTCTCACTATCACATGAGTTGAAAAGTGAACATTTAGCCCATAGAGAGAAACATGGCCGCAGCCGGGAACCACTCTTGAAAGGCCTTGCTTCCCATTATGATTTACGGCTCTTCAGAGAAGCCCAGGCACGAGCCTGTGAGCAAATGGTAAGACATTCTCTTATATAATCTCAATTATCTTTTCGTTTGCATTGTACTAAGGCAAGAACAGAAATTTGTTTTTATGGCTATTAATCTTTTCTTTTTTTAACAGAAGCACACTTAGTCTTTTTAAGGAAGAAATAATACAATAATTCCTTTTTAATATTTGTTCTTTCAAGGAGCATGAAATGACGCAACATTATCAACTCAGTGATATTCAAGAATATCGAATAAAGAAGCTAGAAATTGGCCGGTTTGAAATGAATACGTGGTACTCTTCTCCATACCCCGATGAGTATGCTCGATTGCCAAAAGTTTATTTGTGTGAATTTTGTCTCAAATATATGAAAACTGCAACAATATTACGACGGCATATGGTAAGTATTTAGGCTTTATGAAAAATGTTACTTTTACTGTAAATTTTTCATTAAATGTCCTAGCTATTTTTTTATCTGAAATCTATTTGTACTTCCAACATAAATCCCTTATCAAATGATATGATACTCCTCTCTCTTTTTTGTTTTTTTTTGGGTTTTTTTTTTTTTAAATCTTAAACTAATACAGGATTATTTATATATTAATTAGTACTTCTATCTAAAGTCAAAGTGTCACCCCAAAGCATTCTGTCTGCATTCTCTAGAATGTGTTATATGAAACCAATTGGACACTTATTGTATTTTATATACATGGATACATTTTTTTTTTTTGTGAGTGGGGGAATGATATTGCTGGATATCTGTCAGTGTTTTTGTGAATGTGTTCCTTCCATTTTTTTTAATAATATTTAATTAATACACTGCTTGAAAGCCACTCAAAGTAGTGGTTACTATTAAAATGCTCATGACGAAAGTAGTGCCTGATATGAATGAAGAGAAGTCATGAGTGTATTTTCTAATTTGAAAATAGTGAAGTTTGATACAACCAATTAAGATGTTTGCATCAAGAAACAGTTAACCTTCATATCACCATATCAAGCAAAATTAAATTCTTTTCTTCTCTAAAACAAATGAAACTAAAAGGGAGAACAAAACATCCATATTAAGCATTCTAGAATCTTTTTAGGATTCTATTAAATTTATATTATCATTACACTTTAGAAATCACAATGGGGGATGGGTAAAAAAAAATTTAACATTGGATTCTGTTTCCTTGAGAATGTGTACTGAATGTAAATTTTGTTTATTTTTATTCAAATATAAACTATTTGGTTGAATACAAATTTAATAAAGATATCCTTGCCTCCAGAACTGTATCAGATTATCAATTTTGCAAGATTTTCAGATGTTATGTAATAATGATTCACTTTAAACTCCCTAATTATGTACAGCTTATATTTTTAAGAATTAGGTTAGTTAGAAACATAAACAGGCACGAAATGTGAATTTAATGGTTAAATGCAAAAGAAGCATGAAATTCAATTGCTCATTTATAATTTTGTCTAGATTAATACAGATACTGAACTGTCAGTTTCCAAAAAAATCAGTAGTGTGCTTGCATGATCAAATTTAGCTCAAATATCTCTTGAAATGAAAATTGTAAATACAGAGCAATTTAGTAAAATTTATGATCATTCACGTGTATGCTGGTTGACTTATTTTATTGCCCGAGAAAGTACCTGACACCTTTTATCTTTACAAGAGTCACATTGGACCAAAAATGGAGTATTGCTCTCATATCTGGGCTAAGGATTCTCAGTCCTCGCTGTCCTGCCTTGATAGAGTTCAAAAACATTTATGCAGTCTTTTGGGGGATGACTCATTTTCTACTCTGCAATTTCTTCTCCATAGACACAATGTTACAAACCTGTTGCTATTTCCATCCATGGCAAATGTTCAGATGTGCTCCATTCTTTAGCTTATGGCCATATTGCATTGAAGCACTGGTTCTTGTATCATCATCAAAGTTAAGCAATGTTGAGTCTGGTCAGTACTTAGATAGGTGATCACTTGGGAATACCAGGTGTTGTAAGTTTAGGCATGCTGCTTGGTGCCATGAATAAAGACTCAGAATTGGAAATTGAAGAGCCAAGTTCCAATTCCAGTTGGGTTTGTTATAATCCATGTGAAATTTATGAATCCACCTCATCTCCCCCTAGCTATGGGTTAATTAGTAGAACATGTATCAGTAAATTCATTATCTCAAAAAAAAAATTTTTACAACCTAAAAATATTTTCTGACTTTAAATAACCAATCAATTCTTTAGTTCTATAAATTAAGACATTTACAACTAAAATATGCCATATTATATCCACCTTAATTTCTGTATTCCAATTGTAATGAGGAAGTTCTACTTGGCTGCTTTTTCTCATGAACTGCTAGTTTTTGAAACACTCCTACATGGATGTTTCCCTGAACACTACAAAATGAACTGCTTCAAGTCAAGGGTCAGTCGTCATTATCTATCCTCCTTATTTTTGTAATATTCACTTTCCACCACATCCTCTTTCATTCGTATCACACACACACACACACACACACACACACACACACACACTTTTTTTCTTGTATTGCATGAACTTTAGTAAAAGAAATTAAGTTGCAATAAGAAAAATGTTTTTTCTTTTCTTAAAAAAATCTTCAGTCAGAAATTAAATTCAGTTTTCTAAATCTTTATTATATTTAAAATTGAAGTTCATCTGGAGCAGTGCTGTATACCTCCTTTTGTGTACTTATTTAAGCACATATTTTGTTCAGGCATAAACATTTCAGTTTTATCTTAAAATTTAAAAAGGATCAAAATCATTATATCAGTAATTTGTTAAAGTAAGAAAATTCTTTAACTTTTCTGTTATATTGTGTCTATCAATCTTTGCATTCTTGAGTGGTTTTTGGTTTCCTTTGCAGGCCAAATGTGTTTGGCGGCATCCTCCTGGTGATGAAATTTACAGGAAAAATATTATTTCTGTATTTGAAGTGGATGGGCAGAAAAATAAGGTAAAAACGGTCAATATCATTGCCATTATTGTTGCTGGAATATATTGCTATTTAATTATGGTCAATATATCAAGTCATCTCATAAATGATGCCCCAAATCTGATAGTGATAGATTGAATGATATTTTTTTTCTGTTTTAAAGTATGTGTTCTTGCAGTTCTAAATGAATGTTACATCATTACAATTCAATTTAGTTATGAATTTGAACCCTTTTTTAATCTCAAAATTAAAAGGCAATAATGCTGCAGAAGCAACACAAAATGTTCATGATATTTATGGAATAAAATCTAAAGAAATTGCCAAAGATGGTTTGAAAGATTTACAAAAAGATGACTTCAGATGCACCACCATGAACAAATCCTGCTGATGAGTTTATTGATAACCTTGTTTTGTTTGAATTCAGTAGAAATACAGATTTTATAGTTGAAGAATTAGCTCAAAAACTGAATTGAATTCATTGAACAGTTCATCATACACAACAATTTTAAAATGTGCCTAAATTTAGAAAATGGGTTCCTCATGAGTCCACACTAGTCAGCTATAAAGCAACCATAGACATGTGTACTCTGGCTATTTTTGAAGAGATGACAATTGAAACTCACATACACTGGCTTAGTTGAGGTGATCAGGATAAAGCACAACTCAAAATGAAGAAAGTATCTACATTAGTGTAGTCCACTTTTGAGTTGCTATCAGTCAGTCTTATGAATACAACAGGCATCTATTGTCAGCAGTTAGATCATTAAAAGATGACCTAGTTTGATCAATCACAAAGGTGTGGTGTTCCATCATGATACTGCACAGTCCCACAAATCTGGAAAGATTAAAGACCTTGGCTGGTAAAAGAAATTCCACACTCTCCTTATTCTTTAGTTCTTTCTTTCTGATTCCTGAATTTACAGGACCATCTTCTTGAAGAAGTTCTTAAAGCACATGTAAAGATGAAAACTCCTCTTACATAATTTCCATCCAAACCAAATGACTATTACAAAAACAGTATTGTGAATTTTATGAATCATTGGAACGAAATTACTGATCATGATGAAACCCATGTTAATGAAAAAATACTAATTAAACATAATTATAATTTTGTATGTTCATTCTTTGTGCATTAATTACACTTTGTTATCTTAGATAAATAATGAACTGTTCTGTTTTGATAGCAAGGAAACACAGAAGAAAAAGATATATCAAAGATGCTGTCTTGTTTTAGTGAGTAAAAAAAAAAATACATAATAATAAGAAAAGAAGAAGAAGAAAATAGAGGAAGCAATAATGCTATCAAGCGCTTAATGTCTGCCTCAATGAAATAGAAAAAATCAATTTTTAATCTTCTCATCTATTCTCTCCTACTTTAAATAAAGACCTGCATTTATAATTATGATTGATATTGCAATACTTTGTTAAGCTCAAATATTTAATATTTAATGATGCAATAGGGGAATTTCCATTGATAATTTTATAACTTTGGAAATCACAGAAAAATTATTCAATTTTTTTAAAATTAATTATGATTCATCAGAAAATTCAAAACCTAGGAAAAGCCATTAAATTTTAAGCAATAATGCTACTGAATGTTTTATTTTATTTTTTCTGATCCTAAATTCACGCATTACTTATGGGATGATTTCATGGATTAACTATTTCTTATCATGTCTGCTTAATAGCATTATTTTCATATGTTTTCTGAAGATATTTTGCATCCAGGTAAGGGCCCAGCAATTTTCAACACTGGATAGAATTATGCCTCCAGGCCAAATAACAAACTGGTGAAAAATGTAAAGAAAAGAACAATAAAATGAATGAAACAATAGTCCAAGACATTAATAGTAAAAAGATTTTAAATATGAATTCTCTTCAATTGAAAGCGTATGATTTCTGAATGAATTCGTGCTTGTTATTTGAAAATTTTAGGAAAAAAAGTAAATTGTTATATTAATAATTTCTCAAAAAAAAATAATCTTCAATTTCAGATTTAAAGTTTAATATACTTTAAAATCCAAGGATTGAGTTGATCAGATTTAAACTTCTGTTAGAAAATTTAGCCAACTTGAATTTTTGAATACTATTTTTTTGCATACTATTATTCTTATTTGTTTCTTTTACAGGTTTATTGTCAGAACTTATGTTTGTTGGCGAAATTATTTTTAGATCACAAAACACTTTACTTTGATGTGGAGCCTTTCTTATTTTATGTGATGACTGAAAACGATTCCAGTGGTTGCCATATTGTTGGATATTTTTCAAAGGTTTGGTAAACTTTTGTCATATTTCTCTTTTTAAATTGTTGAATGTTTAACTCCTGTTAAGATTCTTCTAACAGATAACTCCATTTATATATGCATAAACTTTGGTGCCACTTCAATGTTAAACAATTTATATAAAACTGTTAGTAACTGTTGACAAGTTATCAATGTTATGTAGTTTTTAGTTTTAAAACTAAATTCAATTTTGAAATTATTTTTTTTGCTTTTGCTTATTTATAAAGAATCTTTGCATTTATTTTCAAACTTTCTTTTGGTGTAATTTTGCTTAATGACAAGCTACTTATAAAAAAATTAATCTTTCCTTAAATTTTGTGTTGTTCACATAGAAGTCAATTTTTTAGTTATTGTAAATTAAGAAAAATAAAGTAAATTATTTAAAGAACAAATTTAAATGTTGTGAACTTTAAATTGTAGAATAGTTTTTTTTTTTTTTTTTTTTTTTTTAAATTTCACCCCAAGCAAGGCAATAAAGCTCCTAAGATGGAATGGGTCACTGAGTATTAGAGAATACGAGAAAAAAATCACTATTACAGAGAGAGAATGATAAAAGAACAAGAATTAAGAAGTTTATGTGAAGCAGAATTTGCTATGAAATGAATTTTATCAGACTTGGCAGAAATAATAAGTTTACAATTAGCTCTCAAAATAAAGATGAAGATCAAAATAAATGCCAGAAAGAAAGAAAATTAGTAAAATGAAAGTCATAATAGATCTTAAAATATTTAATTTTTTATCTTTTAACTAAATCAGTCTGCTTAGTGGACTACTTGAAGAAAGCAGATATGTCAGCATTCGTCAATTAATATATTTAACTTGCAGAGATACCTGTCATTGCCTATGGGAATTAACTTTAAATATAACACAGGAAAAAAGCATGTTTGCTAACATTTTTATTATATGTCAACAATTGAAAACAACATTATTTACTCTTAAAAAATAACTTATTGTTAGCTCCTGAAAACAAAATAAATGCTGTAGTAGTTGAGTTTGACAGGGGATCTAGAACTAGCCATGTGAATAGCATGGATAATCATGTCGATGCCAGTAATCTTGAAAGAATGCCTTTGTGCTTTGTTAATGGCCATGGTTAAGAGATTAACTGGTAATTGAAGTGCCTTAAATTAAAAGGTCAAGACTATTGGAATTATAGAAATCCTGGGAATGAAAACCACCTTCTTTTTACCTATGTCAATTAAGTTATTTGTTTCAATGACCTGTGAGAGAAGCTTGGTGAGATCTATTATATAACTTTCGAGAGTTAAGATTCCTGACAATCTTGATGGGATAACAAATTTTGATTGTAGCCTGTTGAGAAGAATATGCAGTTCAAGAAAGTGGAAGAACTCAGTTGACTTCTGAGCAACTTCTAAGGTGTTTGGAACTTTATTAATTGACTAGTCCAGCTGAAACTCTCTGAATCTGTTGCAGTTTTTTATTTCTTTGATTGCACCATTATTTAGAGTAAAAATGCCTTGCCTACAGAGTCACTGGTTCTTATGTTTTGTTTTTTAGTTTGTTTTTTTTTAGTTTGTTTTTTTTTTTTTTTTTGCATTTAAAATGACTCGAAAAAAAAGTTTAATCCAGAAATTTTTTTTCATTCACTTTATAAATGTTTTGCCCACAAAACAGGAAAAAAAAAAAAAATTTTTTTTCATTCTTTTAATTTGTTAAACTGAAAAAAATGTTATTTTATCCAAAATTGATCTTTGGTTAATTCCAGTGACCCTGCAGGTCAACACAACATATCCAATTATCTTTTTCAATTCCAGTTACTCTCAGTCGTATAATAATTCAATAATCTGAAGTAAAATGTTAGCCTATAGAAAAGCAAAGCTTGAAAGCTTAACCTCTGTATAGGCTAGTATAAGGTTACCTTATTAAAAAATGTAATCATTTGTGCCAGTCAAATTTTATGATCCTTATAATTTTAACTCACTAATAATAAGTACACTGTTCATGTAGAAAAGAAAAAAAATTATGAAGAAAATCACTCATAGGCAGGTTAAATCATATTCTGTTAACACAAAATTGTTGATGAGCTGTAACATTTCTGAAAATTAAAGTCAGCTTTTTTTTTTTTTATTGTTTTCATGTTACAACTTTTCAATTTTCTGATTTCTTTTTCCCAGGAGAAGAATTCTTTTCTGAACTACAATGTGTCTTGCATACTCACTCTGCCACAGTACATGCGTCAGGGCTATGGCAAAATGTTAATCGATTTCAGTGAGTAATTTTTCAATTTCTTGTTTTCTCTTGTTTGCATCTCGTTCACTTGCAAAATTTAGTTATAAGAATCTTGAATTTCTTTCACTATTCCATAATTTCTCTGCTTTTCTGCCATTTTTTTCTATGTTTACTCATAGAGCTCTTTCCTTCCCTAAAATGTTCTAATTTCTAAGAAATGATGGCAAACAAAAAGAATTTTCTTAAAATTAGTTTTAACTTTATAGTTGACCTTCTTAACTCAAATAAAAGAAAAAAGAATATGGTTTGTGTACTGGGTTATGTCTATCTCTCTGACATATAATCTCACTTGTCCCATGATTCTTCAGCATGATGGTTCTGTTACTGTTTTGTCATCTATTGTGTACCAGAATGGTTAATTTGGCAAATAGTAATTTGGCTTGGTAGCAGGTTACACAAGCTGCATCAATAGGGTATTTGTCTTTATACTGGTTCACAATGAGAAATTCCAAGTATAAGTCTGCTTTTGCTCTTGTTTTGTCAAGTTGTCATTCTTTGTCCCAGCTCTACCAAAAGCATTGTATTCTTGGCTTTGTTTATGATTTTCACACCCATTGCATGTTGACATCAGCAAGCTAGGAAGCAACCAGATTTTACAGAAATTTTGGTCAGTGGTCATTGTGATTCCACTAAGATTTCAGCTGTGAAATTTCCTCGGTTGTGATGCCTTCTTTGTCTCTGCTAAAAAACGGTTTCAGAGCACAAGCCAACAAACTCTGTTGATAACTAACAACGGGTTTAATGAAAAAATTGAAGAATTTAAAAGTACATAAGGAGTAAAGAATTATAAATCTATGTAGGATTGTTGACTATTTTGCAGCAGGAAAATTATTCTAGCAGTAATTTGTAAGAATTCGAGAGATTTTAGTCCTGGCACTATATAACCCCATGAGTCGATTCTGGTCAATGATAACCAATAATGTAGCCTACACTCCTGCGTCGGTCTTCAAGTTCCTTCAGATCACTGTGGTTACCATCTAGCTGACTCCTCACTCATTAATGCATGGCTTGTTTGTCATTGATATCATGATGATGGGCATGGTTCCACCTGACTTAGCTGGCTTTTATCTGTTCACAATCATTCACTCCTCTGCCACATTGTGTTTCAGAGGGTGAGAAGATTACTGATGAAGCAAACTGAAGTGAAGACTGGTCAACACCTGGGAGCTAGACCAAAAAGAATCCTTTAAAATAAAGAATTAACTCTAGTTACAAATGTAACAACAATTTGGTTTATATGTGATTTGTTGTATACAGCAGTTTTAACCCTTCCCACTTACTGTTATAATTAAATGACACTTGGATCCCCTTTGGAGTCTGCAGCTTGTATTAGCAGTAACTTAAATTTCTAAGTTCTGGTCCTCAGGGACAGCACATGGTCTTGGTTCGGAGATCTTGGCAAATGATATGAATTCCAGCAGTAGTAGTGTAGGGAACCTCCTTGTACAAACCTCCAACTTATACAGAGTCCTTCATCTGGCAGGGGGTGGGGTGACTAGAGTCTGGGTTTGGTTGTCTACCACCCTTAGCATCAACCTTTTTTCTAAAATTCCATATTCTCAAAATATGTTTACTCAAGTGGTTTTCCAAATTTGGGTTTTTTCAAAGCCCCCTTTTGAGAGTGTTCGAAGGAATTAAGCCATCCCCTAACTCCAACTCCCTTCACATTTCATCTCGCATCATCGCTCCACATAGGCAGTGATAATCTCTTTCTTCCTTCTCCCACTTTCTCATCATCCAACCTCAGCCCACCCCAAGGGCTGGTACACTGTCTTTGTGATGAATCCAAACTTTCAAGTGGTGTAGGCCAAAAGGGATTTTCAGTCATTAATCTTCCTTTATCAGCTTGTATCACAATGTGATTTCTTGATCGACTACATCACCCAAGAATTGTCATGGGTAGGAAAGAAAATTATTCCCAATCTCTTTATTGATAAAAACAAAATCTTTCCTTTGTTTATGCATTTTTACAATCATCAAGACAACACAGCCTTTTTGTCTATGGTCACTTCAAAATAGTAATTAATTTTTCTTTATCACTTGTATCCAAAGGATTCTGAATTAATATTGGATATAAAATTTTTCTTGATGAATGTCACAGAAATTATAATGAATGAACCTGTTGGGCTGGTTGCTATCTTTGTAAGGACACTTTTCTTCTGAGTGGCTGATTCAAACCAGTCTTTCCTGGCTCTTTGTTCAGAGGAATTGTAAATGTTATTTTGGTGATCATCCAGGTTTCTTAATTGACAATATGTGTTTTTCTATTTGACATCTTCGAGGTTACATTAATCGTCTCTTTCTCATCAGTGGGAAGAACAGGTAGTCTTGGTTTAGCTCAATCTAACTGCATTCCATTGAGTTAAATTTGGGTTCAATTCTTCTTGGAATTATTTTGAAACATGATTTTTCAATGCATTTCGTTTTTTAATTTTCTTAACTTTTCAATCCATCTTCCTGCGAATTTCAACAATTATCATCCAGTTAGTAGACTCTTTCCTCTTCCTTCTTTCTTTCTTTCCCTTTTTGTTTGATCAACCCCCGGAGATCCCAGTGTCACACTGTATTCTTGTTTCTTTAGGTTTTTTGTGGCAGAAGCAGTTGCAGCAAGAGAAAGAACAGTTTATAATAGACCTTGCCTATCTTGTTCTCTCTCTCTCTCTGTGTCTGATCCTGTCTGTTTCTCATCTATCATATTTATATAAGGAAGTTTGCTCACCTCTAGCATTGATTACATGTTTTTTTTATAAGCTATTCATGACCTTTCTTTGTTCAGTAACAGATTCCCCTCTTTGGAATGTGGTCATGCCAGACTCTTGATTTGACTCTTAGTAACAATATGAACATTGGAGAGACTAATAGTACTTTATGTAAACATAGCAAGAATTCTACCCTGGAATTTGGGGAAGTTTCAGGAGACCATATATCTTTGTCATATTCCCCTGGAGGCAATTCTGTAGAGTGAAGATCTAGTCTTACAAAATCTTAATGAACTACTATGTTTATTTCAGGTTCAAATCTTCCTGGAGCTTTCTCCAAATTCATTTTATGGCTTCTAATTATTATTTTTAATCTGACCTTTCTCTCCTTTTTTCACTCTTTAATCTATAATTAATTATTTCCTGCTTCAAATCGTCATGAGGCATTCTCATTCAGTAAAATGTTTAACCAGTATTGTTAACATGTTATATCTAATTGTGCAGTAAAAAATTGTAGTAGAAGTGTGTCATGAATATGAATATTATAGCTATATTAGCAATGACAAAATCTGTCAACTAAGAAACCTTTTTTTTTTTTTTTTTTTTTATGACTATCTTAAGGAGGCAAATATCTTCTAGCCCATGAAGTTGTTAGAAGTAATACTGAATTTTATTAGGTGTATGCAAAATTTCCTAACATTCTCATTTTTTTTTTTTTAACAAAAGACTGAATATACAGTTGGAATCTGTTTCCTTGCTAGAAAAATCAGTGTTCTTTAAGAGACAAGTGTTTCATATAAGTATTGTCTTCTAAAACTGAGATATATATCTTTTACCTTTTTCTTTATATATATATATATATATATATATATATATATATAAAGTTGTAGCCTCTTTCTGTCTGTCTCTGTTATCGAACTCCTCCTAGGGTTTTGGAGATAGACCTGCATAACTATATATATATTCTGAAACTGCATTACCCAGGGCACTTAGATAAATATATTTCATTTTGATCAAACTGAAAATTTTTCCCCATTTAATAAAAATTAAATTTAAATTTGAGCACGGGAATGACTCCTATCCAAAATATAGAAGGAGAAATTCAGAAGATGGGGCTCACATCAGCAAGATGATTGAGTAATATTGAAAAGCATAATTTTTCTTCACAAATTATAACAATGATTTAAAATCAATAATCATTTTCTTACAAAAAACTGTGACACGCAGTAAGGCGTGGGTAATTCAACTAGTGTGTGTGTGTGTGTGTGTGTGTGTATATATATATATATTTTGTGTATGTGTGGTGTAGATTTAGCAAGTTATAGACTGGCAAGAGAAAAGGACATTGTTTAATATAAAGCTTGTTTCTTTTATCTTAGATTTCTTTAACAGCCTTCTCAAACTTGTAAGAGCTAATAAATTTTGTTTTCTTATACTAATATTTTATTTTTTATTGATTTTATTATATTAATTTGAATACAAATTATAAAATATTTTTGCTTATTTTTTAATATGAAATATAAAGTGTATGTATATATATATATATATATATATCTATATATATATCTCCAAATGAGAGAAAGAACAGATGGGGTAAAATCCAGTTTGTAGCATTAATTTTTTTTTTAAAAAGTGCTCAATACAAAGTAGAGCAAAATATAATAAATTACAAAAAAAAAAAACATTTTACATCGCTACAAAAAAACTTTCATGTTTCGGTACTAAGATGATACCTCTTCAGGCAATGGTAGATAACTAATGGTAAAAAATGCTACATTGTGGTTTTTGATCTCAGGCCAACATAGATTGAACCCCCACAGGAACTAGACACATTGAATCCCCACAGTGCTGGTTACACTAATGAAAAGTAATTATTCCTTTAGACAGGTATGACAACAGGATCTCACTGATCAAATTCAACAATTTTATATAAATTTAGAATACAAATAAAATTCAACCCTTCCTGCATGAACCTATTAGTAGCTTACTGACTTTCACCTTGTTGGAAGCAATCTACCTGTATGTCAAGCAAGCTTTGTTAGTAAAGCACTTGTTTTCTAGTCTTAGAATTTTCAGCAGTGAAGCATTTGTTGGCACTTGTTTTCCAGTCTTGTAAATTTCAGCAGCTGTCTGTGTCTGGTTGGTCGTCTCTTGGGCCTCAAATCTTTACTCTCTTAACTCCACTGTTCTCAACTTAACTCAACTGTTAAAATGCCCTGGGCATCTTGCTTTTCTGGACCATAACACAGAGCTGGAGTGAGTAGGGTGGGGTTTTTGGTGTTTTCCCCAAGTTTCTTAATCCAATTCTAACAAGGTTTCTTCATTTAGCCTTTTCTTGCGAGGTATTATGATTTCCAAATTTGGGAATTACCTCACCCCGCAAGAAGTGGGCATATAATTTGCTCCTCCCTGTTGCTCCTACTTCCTCATATCTCTCACCAGTGCTTTGGTTGGGGGGAGAAAAGTCTCTATCTTTCACCTGAGACCATTCCTTCTGGTCTTTTTATATCTGCCACTTCCATTGAACTGTTGCATACACCACCACTGGACTGGGTGGCATTAACTCCTGCTGCACCCAGCCCTCCAGGCCTTGCTTTGGCAGTCATCCATCATATCTTTTCTTTGACTGTCTTTCCCATTGAAAGTGAAAATCTCAATTTCGGGATTTGTTTACACACTTTCTACCTCTTTAGGATTGTCAACAATCTCACATCTGCTATATTTATTGGCTGGGAAACTACTTAAAATTTGTTTTATTTGCATAGTGCGGCCTCTTCAGTGCCAGACAGATACATGAGTCTGCGCTGTCCCCAAAATAACTGAAGTACATTTCCCAGGGTCTATCCAAAATCCCATTGTCCATTGGCATTTCTTCCCAACTGGTCATTAATCAACTCCTTAAGTTAACTTTAGGCTTTTATCTCAAGAAATCCAAAACGATTCCGCATACTTCTCACTTCTGGCCAAGTGGAAATTATTTTGAACAAGATAGAAACATTTTTGCTGCTTTTCTTAATATATCTATCTTGACTCTTTTTAGACTGTTTCAGCATATATTTTTCCATGTTTAAATTTCTTTAGAGCAGGTCACTTTGTCACACACACGCATATATATATATATATATATATATATATATATATATATATATATATATATATATATATATATATTCATAAACAAATTCACACACAGGAATTTCTTGGACTCTTTTAATGTTTTATGGATGTGCAGTCATTGTGATGTCAACTACCATTATGATGTCCCCGATGATCACAAATGTATAAACTGCCATAAAGTGAGTCGATCAGCTAGTGGACTCGCATGACATTTCCACAGCCATCATCCAGAAAGGCAAGCTGCAGCAGGAAGATTGACATGTCAGCAATGTTGGAAGAACCCCAAGACTCTTGCAGACCTTAAAAGCCACTTGAGATGTTTTCATTGATGAAGTGATGATATTGAAAATGTATGAAAAAAAAAAAAATGATGTTTGACTGCAAGAAATGGTCTTACTCGGTGACAAGTTGACTTCCACTAATATATATATATATATATATATATATATATATATATATATATATATATGTAGCTATGGTGTGGAAGTTCATAGTTTTCTCTCTCTTTCTTATGTAGAAAAGGATTAAATTTTGTGACAATTATTTGAAGTCAGTTTTTTATTATTATTTTTTTTTCTTCCAGGTTATTTGTTAAGCCGAATGGAGCAAAAAATTGGGTCTCCAGAGCGTCCACTTTCTGATTTAGGTCTTATCAGTTACCGAAGTTATTGGAAAGAAGTACTCTTGAATTACTTGCACCGTTATAAGGGAACAGAAATCTGCATCAAAGGTAGGTAACTTGTGTTGGTTTAAATTAAGATTAAGAAATTATAAATTACTTTTGTGTACTGGAATTTAGGCTGGCTGTTGTTCAAGAGATCAATAGGAGAGTACCAATCAAAAATGTTAAAAATTATGTAAAATGCCGTCACATGATTTTGAGATATTTGATCTTGTAGATTAAAATAGATGTTTTGTTTTTTGTTTTTTTAATGAAAATTTAATATTTATTTCATTTGCCTTGTCTTTTATTTTTTCTTTCTTATAGATGTGAGTCAAGAAACAGCCATTAATGCAAATGATATTGTCAGCACGTTACAGGCACTAGGAATGCTCAAATATTGGAAAGGGAAACATTTAGTTCTGAAGAGACAAGTAAGTTTTGTTAGTTTCATTTGTTTTTGCAAGTGAAAGTTCTTTAATCAGTTGTTATATATAAACTAGAGAAACTTGTAAATTTCAATTTTACTTAAAAATTTCTCAAAAGAAATGTACAGAAATTGATATTTATAATTTGATAAGTTCTCCCTTCCTCAACCTTTTTTATCCCAAATATAATTAAATGTAAATTTACTAACAAAATATTTAAAAATGTTTTTTGTTAAATCAGTTCTTTAGCTGTAAACTGTAAATACTGAACATCACAAAATCACTTTTATTATTGGAAACAAGAGCTAGAGGCTGTTCTTTATTTTCAAAAGTAATAATGACAGTTAAGCTAGTTCATAATTTTAGAAAACTGCATCAAGAAATTTACCAGTTGATGTATTTCAACTAAGCTCTGTAGGATATATAACTTGTCACTTGTCAATTCAGACTACTAAATAGTGACACCATTTGGAAACTTCCTTGACATTGACATAATTTATTTAATGTCATTTAAGATTTCACATACTCCACTCATATTTAATATTACAATATTATGGAGTGAAGTTATGTACAAAGGCTAGTCTATGACAACTGGGTAATCATTAGCCTACCAGATTGTCAACTTTGAATATGAAACAGAATTTTCAGATCATTTTTTTGTGTGTGGTGGGGGTAGTGATTTGAAAGAATGTGACAATTTTAATGCTGGATCACAAATACTTTACTCTATGAACAATCTGGTATATACGAGAGGTTCCATTATTTTTTTTTTTTTTTTTATTATAAATCAAAAAATATTTTTCTACTGTGTATTCAGTTACAACAATGACAATCACAAGTCCATAGCCAATTAATGTTGTTGACAATCTGCTCTGTTATTTAACTTCTAGCTGGAGGAAGAAAAGATGGATTGATACTTTTCCAAGAGTATTTGTACAAAAATAAATGTAAGGACTTTGGGCAAAATTTGAACTCGTAATGCTAATCCCACTTTCTGCACCAGTATCAACTAAGATGAGCAAAGTTCAAAGAAACAGGAAAATGTCATTAGAAACAAAGAAAAGTGTACTGAACTGTTATGTAATATCAATCCTATCTAGCAGTGAATGCTGGGCAATCTCCTCACAGATGAGGTGAAAACTGGAGGCAACAGAAATGGTTCTATAGAAGGATGCTGAGAATTTTCCATGGATAGTGTGTGTAAGCAATGAAAAAGTCATAAGGATAATGGAAACAAAAAGGACACTTAAAATAAAAAATTTCTTGGACATCTAATTAGGAGGGAAGCTTGGAGAATTTGTCACTCACAGGACATATCAATGGCAAGCGGAACTGGTGTAAACAGCAGGCCACCTACTTAATGAGCTAGTGTGAATGGATGACAGAACAGAGGGTGGGAGGTTTGACAGAGATAATGTTGTTACGGGTCAAAAAGGATAGGAGGTAGAGGAGCCATGATTGCCCATGTCCAGATAGGATACAGCACATAGAAGAATAGTTATTAGAATTTCTTTTCATTCTTGTTATTTTTTAAAAATTTTATGAAAAATAATTATAGAAAATAAGCTAAAAATAATGTTTATTATTATTTTCTTTTGTTTTTCTTTTTGTAGGATTTGATTGATGAGTTTCTGGAGAAAAAATCAAAACGTCCACCAGATTTTAAGACAATTGATTCAAACTGTTTAAAATGGACAGCACCTTCAAAACGTGCTCTTCAGGTTTGACAGCCTGGACATCTGCTCTGTGTGTGTGCGCGCATTACTGTCAAATAGTTCTGTGCTAGTTAATCTGCCAACGAGATGACCTTAATCTCTCAATCAAGACAAGTCACTTCCCTCTCATTTGTACATCTCTTCGTGCTGTCATGTGTGAGTGGATTACACAGATGCATTTTTATATATGCATGTATCTATATGTCTTCTGACATTTCTCATAATGTTTCTTTACATGCATATCATAACAATGACTGTGATTAAGCATTTGTATATAGTCTCGGTGCATATGTGTGTGTATGTGTGTGTGTATATATATGCATGTATATACGTGTGTTTGTGTGTGTGGTTGGTAAAGATCTGCCATCATTTTCTCCAAATTATCAAAAACACATTTTTGCTTCTTGATTGGAATCTAGAAGAATATTTGACATTGGCATTTGGCACAGACTAAACCATTTTTGATAGCATCTATATTTTTTTTTTCTGGGAGTGCATCTGTTCTCTTGGACATTGGCAGGTGTGAATATAACTTTGCCTGATCAGACTTCATTGAGACAAACATGGCTGTAAACTTTTTGCCGCAACTTGTGGCTGTTAATATTGCAAGTCCCTGTCTCCCTCTTATAAATAAATTGGCAGCAAGGCTTATGGTTGATGAAAATAATAAATTAATTTTTAATCCTTGAAATTGATCTGATTCAATCAGAAATTTTTTTGCTGTCCATTGATTAATGTCCACTCAACAGTAAGTCATTTCACACACTTTCTGTTTTTATTGTTAACCAATTTACCTGTTGGAAACATGCTTCAGGTGTTTATTAAAAAAACAAAAACGGTAAGACATTATTTACAATTATAGGTTTATCGAAATTAGTTTATTTTCTTCATATTCAAAATGTTTTCCTATTATAATTACTATAAACAGATTAACTGCCAGCCACATAACACGTGGTTGGCAGTTTTTATTACAATGCTGATCACAAGTTATCTTGTGCTTGGCATTTTTTTTTTTTTTTTTTTTAATACATTTTCAAATGTGGGTACCAAAGAGTTTATTCACAGTGATACTTTTAGTGTGAAAACAAATGTTAGGACTCCAGTTAAAGTTATAAATCAACTCATAAAACTTTTAATTGTCTAAGTTGGCACTTGAAGTCAGATTTCATAATTGGCCTCTGGTGGTCAACGTGTTTAATGAGGAGCAATTTTCACCTTTTTTTAACAAAGAACAAGGATGATCGCCATGTAAACATATTTTTAAGGTTTTAAGAATTTGTTTCAGCTACTGAAAATCTAATTTTGCATCATGTGTTTTTTTTTCATAGAGCAGCCATTTATTTTGTTAACATTTAAAAGAAATGGATTTAATTTTTAAACTATAATCGTTTGGATTTCATAGATTGTATCAGATCAAATAACTTTGAGAAAAGAGCAGGGCATATACAGGTTGTTTTGAAAGCAAGTATTCTTTGTAATATATGAAAAGGTTTAAAAGAAATCTTCACATATAATTAGTAAGCAATAAATCTAAGTACAACCTTAGATTTATCTTTCTAGCTAGCAAAATTTACACATTTTACATACGGGTTTTAAGATTGTCATTAACGTTCATAAAGTATTTTGTGTTACAACCTTTTATTTATGCCTAACATTCATTGCGTATTCAAAATCTAGTATCATTTTTATCATGAACATCTGGATAGATAATATATTGATGATGTATTTGTTCTTGTCTGACTTTTTTTCATTAGGATTCACAACTTTTTGGCATTTCCAACTCTTGGTTATATAGAATGGGTCATGTAAGAATTCAATTTTTTGGTAGATGTTTCTCCGGAACAGAGTTTATCATTGTGCATTGGAGTTATTCCAAAACAAGCTCAAGCTGGAAACTACTACCATTGCATACAAAAAGAAAACTGTATCACTGGACACACTAGGAATATGTGGGTTGTTTTTAACTTGTCTGAATATGGTCCATTGATCAGTTTTACATCTATCCCATAATCCAGGAGATTCATGACCATGTGTTTCAGTGGCCATTAGAAGTTGCATAAAAGCATTATGGGATAATCTGATTTTATTGCCAGTCAATTAAAGGTCATTTCAGCTACATGGATTCTATTTAGAAATTCTGGATACATGTGAGTTTTTGCCATGTCAGAGTATCACTGCTTCTGTTGTGGCACTTGTCCAATCTTGATCTATTCAGCTGCAGATCCAGCTTGTTCTGTGCCACCATCAAGTTAAAATTTCATATTTGTCAATTTCATGATTTTGACTTGTCCCTATAGTTTATAGTGACATACAAGCATTGACAATTTCAGTTTGGGATTATCTGTGCATAGCACAAGTAAGATTTGTCTCTAGAAAAGACCATGATTGATTCTTCCAAATGGTCTGTTATTCTACCTGATGTTCCAAAATATTTGATTAATGACATCAGTGGTCTTCCTGTGGCACTCAGGCGATTTGAATTGTCTGTTAACACATTTTGAGGAAAGCTTTCTCATACTTATCTATCATGCAAGGAGATTGGCTGTTAATTATCCCATATGAACCATAAACATTCGGCAAACATGGACTGTCGTGCTCGCAAAAAATCTGGAGTGTAAAAACGTTTTTTCCATGTCATCTCTTTTAACTACCTTCTCTCTTTTAAAAAGCAATGATTAGAATAGTAATAAAACCTAAACATACAAAATTGAATTTATACATTTTCTTCATTCTTGAGACTTGATAACAAAAAAAAGTAAACACTATTAGATTGTTTATTTACATTATTTATTATATTTATTGGAATGGTTGGCAAAACATTGGCTAATTACCAATTGATTTGTCCATTATGAAATGGTAAATAATAAGGATTTACTTATAGTCGGTTTACATATTTTAATTTATGAAAAATTGTTTTCATATTTATTTCTTTATAAATTGGTAAATGATAAATATTGTATTAGGTTTTAGAATATTTTAAATATAAAATTATTCTTGTAAATAATAAATAGTGTTTAATATTTTTGTTGGAAATTCTCAAGAACAAAAAAAAATGTATAAATTCACTTTCATTATATGCTTAGATTTTATTACAATTTTAATCATTGCTTTTAAAACAAACATTGCTGAAGAGTGAAGATAGTTAAAATAATAAGTGTTAAGGGAAAAGCCAGCTACAAAGGTCCATGTTCATCTAATATTGTTTTTAGTAATATCTCATGCACTTCATGGCTGATGTTTGCTTATCTTTCATTTAAGTGGCATAAAATTGCTATTCCTTGAATTCTATAAAATTAATAAGACCAATGTATATACGGTTATTGCAATTTAACATTATTATAATGGGTAATGTTGACTATGTAGAAAATGAATGCTGAAAATACAGGACTGCTCTTGTACCATTGATGCTGCATGAATTTGTGAAGAAGTGACATGAACAATGTCTTAGAAGTTCTAAACTGTTGACACAGTTTATGCTTGATGTGTATCCAAAGATTTTCCATGTTTTGAGTATGGATGGTGTCATTATCAGGATCCACAAAATGCTGTTGATGAATGATGCCATGAGGGTATATGCTGTGGTTGATTTCCTCAGTTCCATCATAAGCAGCTTAGCCATCTGAAACAATATGGCTTCCAAGATGTATATACTGCACAATCACCTCTTTCAGAGTCTCTGCTCACCTATCCGGAACCTCAACTAAGAAACATATTCCTGAACATTGCTCGATAGCACCAATTACCCACTGACCAGGGCACCATTGGCCACTGTGATATTTACAATTAAAAAACTTTGTCTCATCTATTTCATTCAATATAAAATGACAGTTTATTTTACACCATTTAAATGAAGCAGAACTTTGATAGATTATTTTACGCTGCTTATGTGAGGGATTGCCTAATGTTCTTGTCAGGGATTTCTGTGCAAATCATTCAATCGGCATCATCTGGTTCTTATAGTTTTTCTCAGTCTCCAAGAAATAAGTAAAATCTGACTGTTGGGAAAGATTTGGTTCTCATTCAAGGCACAGTATCTTTGGACTTTATCTCGGATGTTTGGTGGAATCCTTCAAAAGTGTTTTTTTTTTTTTCTTGCTGTAATATCAGATACATCTAATAGTAAATGCTAAATTTCTAAGTAACATAGATTGAAGTTAAGTCACAAAAAGGCTAGGCAAGCCAAGAGATTAGCCAGCTTTTCTTTATTAGCATCAACAGCCCCCAAGAGACCCAGATACTTTTTAGTACATATTTCTTTTTTGTGTTTATTCATTCAATTTATTTTGACTGTTTCAGTTACTGAAAGTCTGCCACAGATACATGGTTGTAGCTCTTTGGAGTTAGTTTAAATAGTGATCAGAATCTCTGATCTGAAATGATATCAGGCAATCTCAGTTGGTGACAGTTTGCCACTCCCACTTGCATGAGGTATTTCAGGTATGAAGCTTTCTTCCCTTAAGGGAAATGGGAAGATGTAGTAGAATAATTGCCACTGCATTCATGCAAGGTAATTTAATTTAATTAACCATTATTGATTAGGTTTATAAGTAGTTCTTCAAGCTGGAGATACTGAAATAATTACATAATATTATTCCTTAGGACTAAGACAAAAATGCATAAATCAAATATCTAAAAGTGTCACTCAAATTTGTTTACAAACTGAAATTTTTCACATTATAATAACTTTATCTGGGTTTAAGTCTGGTTTTTGTGCAGCTTTTTTTTTTTCCTCCATATAACAATGTGAGAATGCTAGATCCAGGCAAATACAACCTCTGTCCAATCTTTTAGCTGCTTAATATATTTGCTTCTGTTGGCAACTGATTTATTCACGTATTCCCTGGTCAAATTGCTTGTTTTTACTTAGACACCTCCCTTGAAAATAATGACGTTGTGAAAACGTTTTATTAACATCAAAAGCAGAGCTTCATTTTCGAGGAAAATTAAATAATTCTGGCCCAATAGAGCTTAAAATCTTCCAGGATGACCCTAATCATTACTTAGAGTTTGGT